GCGACCCATCGAACTCGCGGAGCGAAAATAGCTGCAGCAGCGCGATTGCTTTGGCAAGTCCGTTTGCTGCGCTCCACATACTAACAACTACTACTACTACTACTACTACTACTACTACTACTACCTGCTACTACTTGTATGACGTTTACGACTATGACAACAGCTACGACGACGACTACGGCGACGACCGCCACTACTACTACTCCTCCTGCTGCTGCTGCTGCTGCTGCTGCTGAGGTGTGTTAGGGTTCTAGAATCTAGAAAAAGCAGATGTAACAGGTATTTGCAGGCGAGCAGAGGACCACTGAGGACTTGCAGTATTGAAAATCGCTAAGCTTTGCTAGCCTTGGGCGAGTGTGAGAGTCGAAACCTTCCAAATTCTTGTAGCTCTATGAACCAAGCGAGAGACTGGTCCGCAGGCCTGATTGGTGTGGCTCCAGGCTGCGCGAATGCATCGATTGGGCTGTTTGAGTTCCGGTGTCTCACATCCTGTGGTTGAGCTAAGCGGACATCCACAGCTCAAGATCAGACATGAGCAGGTTTCAAATGTTAAGGGTGCTGTCTGATATAGTCCCCGATAACAGCTGGAAAGACCAAACTGCAAAAGCTAGCAGCCCTTTCAGTTGTTGGGGAGGGTGTGTAAGTCAGGCAGGAGCGAACAATAAGAAAGGAAGCGCACCGGGTAGCTTCTCCGAAAAGCAACCGAAGGCACGCACATTGAGCTTCTTCCTGGGCTCTCTCTGAGCCCTTGCCAGGTTTTCAAGCCCCTGTATACACGGTAGCAGCTAGCTACGTGTAGGAGAGGGGCCTTTGCTGCCAGGCGAGTAGATCAGCTTCGGCGAAGTACATGGGAGCTTTCAGTTGGAACCTTTGGCGAGGACAGCCGGAAGTGATACATCTTCACACCACGAGTGAAACCCTGACATGACATTGGAAATCGGATATCCGCATGAAACTAGACAGTCTGCAGGTTGAGCTCCTTGCCAGGGACTCATTTTCCAAAGAAGAAAGCACTCGGATTAGGAATCAGGTTTCCTTTTCCTTCACCGTAGGACTTGTGCATCTAAGCCGTGTCCAGCCAGCTTTGACGGGCTGGCTCGGGATGCGGCCGAGCTTGGCTGGGAGGTTCGGGCTCACTTCCTTGGGGGCGGACCCGGCTGTAAAAGATAGGCAAAGAGCTCTAGCTGACTCTAGCTGCTCCAGCTGCCCCAGAGGAACGCCGGAGGAAGGGCGAATGGGTCGACATTTTGCAACTAGGGCCCGAGGCACTGCAAGAGCACGTGTCTCAAGAGAGGCAATGAGTCCTGGAAAAGAAGGGCATTTTGACGGAATCGTGCGTCGCTGCTCTGTTATTGCTGTGAAGAGGCACCCGCAACTTGCGCATTATCTTTGGACCAGATAATCAGTGGAGCATGGCGACTGCACCCACGGACCGGTACAGCTTACGGCTTCATGAACACACTGAGCGAGAAACCGAGCAAAGCAGACTCCTCGTGGCAGGTGTTCCAGCATTTCCAGCCCAACCAGCTGAGTTCAAGAGCTTGTTGCGGATTCCGACTTCAGGAAAAGGGCCACGAAACGATGCAGCTTTGAACCTCCGTGCCAGTTGCTGTGATTCTCGAACAGGTGTTCTGATTTCGCGAAGTTTAGGAAGACGGGCTGCCCCAGATTGGCTCAAGAGAGACAGGGAAAGGTCTCCTGTAAACTCTTCACGACTTTCCTGGCACCCCAGCTGAGCCATGGGCGTTGGCAGCTCCTACAACATGACCTGCCCTCCCGGCGGGGCGCTGATCACTTTGCAGGATCCGCAGGACTGAGCGGGGTGCTTTCAGGATGTCATTTCTTTCATAACGGATCTGATCTGAGCCTGAGCCCTTGTAGTGCCCTGGTACCCTTTGAGGTCTATGTTAGATGTGCCAGAAGCCACTCGTGTTTGACCTGACACGAGGAGTGCTTGCAAGGCAAGCCGGTCTTCAAGGAGACGGGTCGGGATTCTCTACGTATGGCAGGTTACGGAATTTCAGGCGAGGGTCTGGGCACTCACTTTGCGGGGAGCAAACTGCCACGGGCACTGTGCTGCGATGCGCTTGTGTACTTTTGTGCGTAACGAGAGGACAGCTCTAGTTTCGATCCAGAGCACTTGCCATGATGGCCAGTCGAATGGTTCGCGAGTGGGGATTCTCCGTCCTAGAGAATCACAGTAAGAACATCGCATGATTCGCTTGGTGAGGACTCAGCCAAGCCACCTATGCTTGCAGCCATGCCAGACAATGCGTGGAAGGGCTTCGCAAACAAGGTCAGCGACACATGTGCCAGGTGGCTTGCCAAGCCGTGATAGGGATTACCTTCTCCTTCAGTCTGGTGAGGTCTTCGAAGCCAAACCTTGTTTTGATTCCCTGAGTGTCGCCTAGGTGTTAAGCAGCGGCTGTCATTGTCAGTTTTGCGAGTCAGGTACTGGGATGAGAGATTGCCTTTCCTCGGCCTTGTGTTCGCCTTGTTTCCGTTCGTCAATGCCATCCTCACTTTTACCAATGCCGGCACGGATACGGGGTTCGGCGTGACCAACTTCATCTCTATTGGCTTCGTCTTCTTGGCTGTTGGCACAGTGTTCGGTGGCCGCGTCCTGATCTGCAACTTGAACCAGGCCCAGGACCACGCGATAAGGATGGCGTGCGAGGAGTTGAGAACGACATCACACGGTGCCTTCACCGCGGAGTATCGAACGATGTGGACGGGCCCGTGCAAGCCCAAGCATGCGCGAACCATGCGGGTCATTTGCATCTCCTCCGCTTCCGGCATGGTGGGCATGGCACCTCCGCAGAGCATCACGGTCACTGTGCCCGCAGGGGTCAGTGCAGGCTTGCCGGGAGTGCGTCCACAGCCCCAAATAAATGCCTATTCTGTTACGTCCAGCTTCTGTTTCCAGACGGTTGGCCCTCGGCAGGTGCAATGCTGCAGGTGCAGACCCCCACCGGCATCCAATCTGTGACCGTGCCGCCCGGAGTTTCTCCAGGACTGTCCCGCTCCACAATTGCAGTCAGAGATGCCACGCCGAAGTAGACTTCAATCAAGTACTTCACATTCGGGGCTCAACTGAGAAGATTTGATCTTGCTGTGTAGCCAGGACAAACCTTTGCCTTCACACCCACGGCCGTGCCAGCACCGGTCATCGTTCAAGCACAGGCAGGCATGGACTGCATCGATTGATCACTAGTGCGAGGGATCGCAGTTGTGACTGAAGAGGTCGTTGGCGAAGCTGTTTGAGCCAGAATTCATCAGGCAGGTTTTGGATTTGCCGAACAAATCCCAGAGCTCTTGAGGAAAGGCTGCAGGCACGTACATGTCCCCGAAGGGGCGGTAACTGCCACCTTTCGCCGTTCATTGAACGGCCGTCTGCCTAGAGTGAGACGGCAGTTGCTCTTAGGCACTGCCTCCTTTTTTCTCAGAGGGACTGTCAGCATGTCCCTTCTGCATAAAAGATGCGTTTCAAGATTGTTCAACAGGCTTTGCCAATCCCTCTTGATGACATTTCCGAAGCTCTGCCCTCGGCAATGTTTCAGCGCCTTTTTGAAAAGGTGCTCTTGCCGACTGGCCACGTCACTGCCACGCATCGATCTGCCGAAAGAACTTTGCAAAAGTGCAGCCCGTTTTGGCAGAAGAGGGAACCTGGAGGTGCGAGTTGTGGTGAGTCGTCCTGACGTCCACGAGCCAACAGAACCGGAAGCCAATGGGCCGTGTCTACACGGGTGCAGGTGGAGAGGTGATTGGTGGGTTGGCTGCCAAATCAACAGGAAGTCTCAGTGTTTTTAAATCCAGGCTCTCCGCGTCTTGAAAGGAGATGATAAGCCTTCGCGTTTGCATGAACTCCGACTAATTGGTGTAGAACATCGCCATGCACCGTCTCCACCGAGTGCACGGCTAACATGGATTTCTTACAGACTTGGAACCGGCAGCATTTCGGCTCGACTCGCAATCAGCGGTTGCTAGAGTCCCAGACTCCGCAACCATTCTCGGCTGCAGAGGGAATGCGGATTGTTTGTCAAGCAGTAAGCAAGCAGTAGACCAGCTGAGATATTGGTTGCTAGATTTGAAAGCTGTCGATGTAAACGCTTCGAGTAGGCGTTCTCTCTCTCTCTCTCTCTCTCTCTCTCTTTCTCTCTTTCTCTGTCTCTCTCTCCCTCCCTCCCTCCCTCCCTCCCTCCCTCCCTCGCTCTCTCTCCCTCTCTCTCTCTCTCTCTCTCTCTCTCTCTTTCTGTCTCTATACTCTAAGTTATAAGACTGGTGCCCGGGATGTTCTTCAGAGGCCTCCCGCCGGCTCAGTGGA